TTTTAAACATTAGCATGTAATATTAAAATGATGTAAGGAATAAAGCTCTGAGGTTAAGTTCTCTAACACTATGGGAGGAGCACAAAGACAAGACAGAGACAGCAACATTTGATCAGACAGCAATTGGCATTTCGTACAACCTGCATCTGCTAGCGTTTCATAACAGTGTTGAAAATAAATTGTACTTTGCAAACATTGAACCAACGTCCCAAGATGTGCCTGCTCTTTTTTTAGAGCATTTTATTGTTTCCATTGATTACCAACAAAAAAATGAGTTCGCTTTCCAAGAACCTCACGTCAGATTATCTATGAGGCAACGTTCTCTTACTGACTGGCTGAAACTACACACACTGACTAGTAGTCAGCTGTTCAATCATTTTGTTAGTTTGTAGTAGAAGACTAAATGCAGCATCTCATTTTCATTTTATTTCGTTGTGTTCAAAAGGGCTTGAGGCTGGAGCGGTGGGCCTAGTGCTCACTTATGTTGTGACACTAACGGGAAACTTCCAGTGGACCGTGAGGCAGAGTGCAGAGGTGGAGAACATGGTAAGCTGCTGTTTGTGCCTCCGGCTCAGTGTTGAGGTCAGACAGGATTATCTTCACAGATCCAAGGCTGTACCTCAGTGTTTTTGTGGAAGAACCTGTATGGTGGCGAGAGGGAGTTAGCGTTGACTTTTTAGAAACAGGCTGGAAGTTTGAAATCTTTCCTCCCCTCAGATGACATCAGTGGAGAGGGTGGTGGAGTATACACAGCTAAAGAGTGAAGCATCCTGGGTAACCCAAAAGCATCCTCCTCCCGATTGGCCGAGTCAAGGAATGGTGACCTTCAACAAGTTAAACTTCTCCTACAGCTCCGGAGGACCAGTGGTCCTCAAAGACATCAGCATCACCTTCCAACCCAAAGAGAAGGTGAGATGTGCGAGTCTGGATAAAGCTACAGGCTGTTTTTTCATTGCACACGTTTGGAGATGATTATTTTTCTGTACCCTCTGGGTGTCAGGTTGGTATCGTTGGGAGAACAGGTGCTGGGAAAAGCTCCCTGGTCTCAGCTCTGTTCCGTCTGGCAGAGCCTGAGGGAGAGATCTACATCGATGGGGTTCTCACCTCTGAGATCGGCCTCCATGACCTGCGCCAGAAGATGTCCATCATTCCTCAGGTAAGGGAAAGGATACGCTCACTTTGCCCCGCCTGTAAAATCAGATGTTTCTGAAATTTAGAAATACTGAATAA